CATTCCTCTTTTAAGTTTCAGGTAGCGTGCTATTTCTAAAAGCGTTCTGTGAAACCTTTCCACCTGCCAATTTGAAGTACTATGGAGTGGTGGTGCGTTTGCTATCTTAACATTAAATCTCTTTGAAAAAAGTGATCTGATTGACTCGGAATTAATATTCATTGTCACAAAATATTGTCTTTGAATGAGGATAGAAGTTTATCAATAGCATTATTGCAGGCTCTATATCAGTTATTGTTCGAGAAACTATGGGTTGCACAATGGAAAATTTAGAAAATGTATCAATACTTGTCAAAAATTACTTTCGGTCTGTGGAGAAAATATCAAAGTGCAAGGTCTCGCCTACGTGTGAAGGAATAGGAGTTGTGCCAAGGATTTGCTTCTGCGGATGGCGGTCGTATTTGGTATTTTGACAAACCAAGCAGTTGGCTACAAAACTAGCGGCTAATTGTGACATTTTAGGGTAAAAGTAACACTGAAGAATTCGTTTCACATTTTCCTGCGCGGCCCTGTGCGCTCTGTTGTGCTCCGTAGCTACTATTTCTTTTTGTTCTGCGTTCTTATAAATGTCAATGACCATTTTTTTTGTGTGTCGAAAAGCTGTTGCTGGGAATTCATCTACAAGAATGTTTTGAATGAAAGCAAGTACGGGTAATTCGCAGTGTAGTGCATTTACTCGACCACATCATCAACATAGTTTTCGGCAACATAGTTTTCTTTCCCTGGCTTATAGCTTATGCTTATATTTGAGCATTTGGGTTCCTATCCGATACGGCAAATGCGGACATCGATGTTTTCGGTGTTTTTGGCGAAAAACAAGCAACATAACAAGCAACGCATAATTTCATTTTCCTAAAATAAGGTTTCCTTATTTTTCTTTAGGATATTTTACTATCCCTAAAATAATATCCTTACTTTGCTATCCTTACTGTACAATTCTTAACTCTACTATACATATTTACATAATTACAAGTTTTTTCTTTGTTTAAAAAAAGAAGAAAATCGAAAACGGTCGATGAAAATGAAATATGAAATATGATGAAATTATAAATTGTCCAGCTTTACTAAAAACTTTTTCCGACCCACACGAAGATGCGGGAACGGAGAAGTATTTTTTAACTAGCGTTTTAAACTCGTCGCCATCTGTTGTTATCTAAAATATAATATATAAAATAAATTTGAAAAAATATGTTATTGCATAATGTCTTACCTGCCAGTACGCAAGTGGGTCACATTCTTCGGGCTGGTTGTCTTTCTCAAAATTTTGTCTTATCAGGATAATGGCATATGCCCAGGAAGAGTGCACCTTGTTTTGGTTTTTGACTTGGAGAAATCAAAATCGTCTGATGTAGTGGGTTTGAAGGCAGTTTGGTGAACAGTTCGTGCTGCAAAACTTTAACAGCTTCTTCTGCATTAAATGGAATCAAAAGTCCGTTTAAAACAGGGAAATATTATGGTGGCAACTTGGGGTATTGTGCGTGTCTCATATCTTTCGAGCCTTTTGCTAAGACTAGACTTAATGGTCTAGACTAATTAATAGACGTCAATGTGTTTATGCCTTTGTCTGAGTTGCCCTCAGCGAGTTGCTATTTTTGCAGAAGAGAATACGGATTATCCCCCTGCAACTACTGGCTTCGCTTAAGAAAAGCAACTACAGACTTACATTTTATAAAAATCAGACTGAGATCTGGCAATTTTAGAACATCTTGCACAATAAAGTTGTTTGTGTGCGCTATACAAGGCAAATGCTTATACTCAAGCAACTCACATGATTTTAGCATCGTTGCGTCGATGTCAGTTACAATACAAAGAACCTTATTTGTGGCACCCCAATTATCAAGCACGTCCTTTAGAGTTTCAGAAATATAACTGTCGGGTCAGGCAGCAGCACGGCGTTTAATGTTGATGTTTAAATAATGTTAATGTAATGTTTAGTGCAATGTGTATTTATTAGGCTTAAGTATGTACAAGTAGCTTAGTTGATCGCAAGCCGACTCACTCTCGCCCGCTCGATTTACTAGCTTTCTTAAGAAAGTTTTAGCTCTGCAAATGTCTAGGTCGGGCCGCCCTCTCCATTATCGAGAGCTTTAGATTAGCTGTGACTAGTCGGGCCGCCCTCTCTGTACTTCACTTGACTCCCTGCATGCACCATAAGCTGGTCTATCACCTGATTCATCTGCATGCAGGAATACAAATTAAAACTATTTAAATTAATCAAAGTCTGCGTTTTATTTTAATGGCATTGAAAACCCTCAATGACCAAACATGGGTGACCCCGACGTGATCTAGTTAATATAATTAACAATTTAAAAAAATTTATTGACCCGCGAGAAAAATAGAAAAAAAAATATATAACGTGCCACAACGCAAGTGCATTCGCCTGCGCATAGACTTCATGTATATATACATTCCACAATTCCGCTACGGTTCTGAGCGCACAGTGCGAGCAAATAAATTTTGAGAGATACAATTTTGGCGGCGAAATTATTTACTTCGGGTTGGTCGAAACTTAATATAATCAATCATGAACTCCAGCGGCGCCGTCCCAGAAGCACCCACTCCAACCCGTAGTGCTATTTTAAAGTGCAAGGCCCTGGGTGTTCTCCAGGAATTACAGAGGATCCAAGGAGCACTTCAGCCTGTTTCCAAGGTGGATGATGCCATGCTCCACGTGCGACATGGCCAGATAGTCACCATGTTCAGCGATTTCAAGGCCATCCACGAGAAGTTTGAGGTTTTGGACATTTTGCAGATCAGTTGTGACCTCCGATGGAATGTTTCGGAGCTCGTAGCGACGATGCAGGCCGAAGTTGAGCACGAAATGACCCTTCGCTTTTCTCAAATTGCTGCCCACTCCATCCTTGCTAACGGAATATCCACCATGTATGCTGACCCACGATTAGGTCAAAGTTTTCAAGCGTTACCTCCTCTGCCTCTTCCTACCTTCAGCGGTGGATACTCGGAATGGGCTGAATTTTACTCGATTTTTTTTATTCTAATAAATTGGTTTTTTAATAAATTTATCATACCGATCGGCCAACAATATCCATTATTTGGGATATCCGATCTTAACTGCCAGGGTATATCAACTTTGGCTCCGCTCGAAGTTGGCTTTCCTTTCTTGTTTGATTTCAGATCAACGAGTTTAACTGAATAACAATAACAATAATAGAGCATCTAAACGTTTCTAGTGGAGCGACCGAGACCAACTCGATAAAGTTAAAAAGCGAGAGACGATCCCAAACAAGACGGTAGATGTAGAGGGCCGATCGACTGAAATGTCGAGGAAGGAAGTAACAGAGCGGGTCGAAAGTGCAGAATTGCCCGTCATAGAATGACGCTGCTCTTAAAAATGCAAATTAAAATTTATAATCTTGGCCAGTGGTCGGCACGGCCCTATCCCGAGGGCATAGGAAATTTCTCTGCCCGAGCTCTGCCACACACACTCAGTATAAATGTGTGAAACGTCATGCTCACAGCCTACTTTCTGCTATTCGTTACTAACACTAATGCGGTAAAATCATATCAATGTATTGGGGTGTCGACCACTGATCTAGGCTATTAAGTTTTGGAAGGTCAGCCTTACGAAAACAGCAAATCTTATTTCGCTTTCATCTATAGTGAAAAGGAAGAACAGGTAGTAAACAACGACTGAGTAGGATATATAACTTTAACGCAGATAAATCACCAAACTCAGGTAACGTTATCTTTTTAGAAGCAAAATTGGAGTCAAAAGATATTAAGGCTCTGGTACACTGAGCGCACTGATTTTCTTTATTTCGCGCAGCGAAATTGTTATAATTATTTAGAATAAAAACTATTAGAATTAAATTACACTTAAAGCGACTGTTAGGAATAAGCAAAGTGAACGAGCTAATGGGTTTGCGTGGGACAGGAGCCTTTTCTCATGAGCAGCTTCAATTTCTTGAATAGTGTCACCTCAAAAAATGACGCCAAGATCTTTGTGTATATCAGTGTTGATTAAATTTCCCAATGTCTTTCACTCTAATAACAGCCTTGATTGTGGCTTTGATATAAACCCAAAATTAGGTGGCTATCTTAGAGGTATCAGGGGATAGCCTTCAGACCAATATTTGTCTAAAAGGTGCGACCGCCTGTAACGGTTTTGCTGCCGCGGTCGGCAATTTGTATACCCTTGCAGAGGGTATTTAATCATGGTCAAAAGTGTGCAACGCAGTGAAGAAGACATCTCCGACCCTATAAAGTATATATATTATTGATCAGGATCACCTCCTGAGTTGATCTAAGCATGTCCGTCTGTCTTTTTCTACGCAAATTAGTCTCTCAGTTTTCCAACTATCGACTTGAAACTTTATACCCACTCTTCTTTCATTTGCAAGCAGTATATAAGTCGGAACGACGGAGATCGGCCGACTATATCCCATAGCTGCCATCTAACTGAACGATCGGAAATGAACCAACTTTTCGTGTTTTTGAAGATAGAAGGGTATAAAAATTGAAAACAAAAATTGAATGCGAATAACTTATGAACCGAGTGGACTAATAAAAAACGGTATATTTTTCATATAGATATCATTTAATCATTTTTTTATTCTGTATAGTTATTGGAAATATTTAGTTATAGTGGCTTTGGTTGAGCCTCTCTGGTCGGCTTGCTTATTTCTTATCGCAGCAGTCTTATCTGTTTGGTGCTTTATCGAGGTATGCATTGACCTCTCTTTGAGCTTTGGTCATGTGCGCCCAGCCGGGGGCTATCATTTGCCCATGGTGTGCGACTCCTCTCTTTACAATGCATTTACCGCTAAGCTACGGAAGGCGCTACTTTGTTTAAGCTCATCGCATCACTCGGTCCACCTCCGTCGACCCCACGCTACAGCGTCTCGAATATAACCTTAATAAAGAGAACTAAAAATCTTGGCTGTGTCGACCAACGAAAACGCTCAGTAATTCATCATTTATAAATGCATTTTACTAGAAATTGCAAATTTTTTATGATATATATTCTACTATATTTTCAGATAGAATTCCTGCTCGTTTAGTGCTTTATTTCCTTTCTTGTTCGGGCTTTTTAGTATCATTTATGATGCGAAATGATATGAATTTTGCATTGGTAGCGATGATGCCCAAAAATAATTACACCCAGAATCAAACGAATTATGGATCGCTAAACACTTTGGTAATATATAAAAACAAAAACAGTAAAACATGTTATCATTTTGATTTCAGACCGGTGGCACTGATGAGCAAACATCTTTAGTAAAATCAATTATTATCAGTTCATTTTATTGGTGTTACGTACTTTCCCAAGTAGTTGGAGGCGTTGCCACAGAACTATGTGGAACTAAGTGTGTATTCGGATGGTCACAGCTAGCTACAGCTATTTGTAGCATTATGATGCCGCTAGCAGCAGAAATACATTATATAGCTGTTATTGTTCTACGATCTATTCAAGGATTTGCATCTGGGCTTACATGGCCAGCAATGTATGCAATAGTTGGATATTGGATTCCTCTTACAGAGCGATCGCGATTTATGTCTAGTTTTCAAGGTTTTAGTGTTGGTATTGGATTAACGTATCCTTTATGTGGTTTTATTTTGTCCGAATTTGGATGGCCCTATATTTTTTATACTACTGGATCTTTAGGGCTTGGGTGGTGTATATTATGGTATTTTTTAGCGTATAATACACCACGTGAACATCCTCGTATTACAAACGATGAACTTAATTATATTGAACAAAATGTTAGCAAAGAAATTAACAACGCAGTTAAATTGAAAGTTCCTTGGCTAAAAATATTTGGATCCCTGCCAGCTTGGGCTATTGCTATAACTACATTTGGGCGTATATTTATACACTATATTTTTATTGTAAATGGTCCAACATTCATGGGTAATGTGCTAAAGTTTAATTTTGAAACAAATGGATTCCTATCGGGAATGCCCTTTATTTGCTCATATATTTCATCAGTTTTGTTTTGTTATATAGCTGATAAATGTATATTGTACAAAGTTTTAAGTCTTACTAATGTAAGAAAATTATTCACAGCTCTTTCGCAAATTATACCTGGCTTATTAATTTATTCTATTGGTTATATAGATAATATATACATTTTGCTTACCGTATGGTTTATAGCAGTTATATTTATTACTGCATCGTATGCAGGGGCAATGGCTAACATAATTGATATAGCGCCAAATTATGGACATTCAGCCGCTGTTCTTGCTTTTTGTCAAACAATACATATGTCAGCATCCTTTATTTCGCCATTGACCGCTGGATTTATTGTTATTCGAGAGGTAATGTATGCTTTTGGATTTTTATTTTAAAATTTTAAATATTTGGATTCTTTCTATACCCTTGCAAAGGGTGTTATAATTTTGGTCATAAGTGTGCAGCGAAAAAGGAGACGCTTCGGTTATTTTGTACACAAACTTTTCAATCAATTTTAAAGCTAATGATTTGATTGACTATGATATAACTTTGTTGATTTTAAAGCAGGTGAAACAGGACTCGAAAACTTTGAATTTTCGCCGTTAGTTTAACAAATGAGCATAAGTCGCTTACTACATTCGCTTTCTAAAATTTCTTTAGGTCTTAAATAATTTAAAAGTCAGCGTAATCTACGCTTCGTTCAGTGCAGAAGTTCGATTTTCTTACCAATACACTCTTACTCTTACTTTTATAGAGTATATTGCAGTGGTGAATATGTATGTAACATAGAGAAAGAATAATATCCGACCCCATAAAGTGTATATGTTTTTGATCAGCATCAACAGCCGAGTCGATATACATAGCTATGTCCGCCGCCATAAATGGCAAATTTCTCTAGCACATCCAGTACATCAATGTTTTTTGAGAAAATTTTGATGCCAAACTATTTCTTTAGTTAATTTTTTTTTTTAGAAAAACAAATTTCATTTAAATCGGCAGATATTTAGGTGTGTATAAAAGACTATAAGCGACTATATATGGTATTCGCGTAGATCAAGTTGGTGTCAAAATTTTGCGATAAATTTTTTCTGATCCCATTTTTAGCAAACTCGTGCGTTATACAACATGTCATTAAGGTCGACTAACTATGTTACATAGCTGCCATATAAATGAACAATTCCAAATTTTACAACTCTTTGAAGGTAGAAGCTCGGAACTTGTTCAAAAATTAGTATTATAAGAAATGAATCTTATTATTTAATTAATAATATAAACTTCCACTTAACAGGAAGGGTATATAACCTTCGTCTTTGGTCGAAACTTTCTTGTTTTGTTTTTCATAAGATCATACCGGAGAAAATTTTAATCAGGTATAGAACTTTATTGAAGGACTTAAAAATGAAACTAAAATTAATACAAAAACAAATTTAACTTCCTCAACTCCAAAAAATAATGAAAATTATATGAATCCCCTAAAGTTGCTTCCGTCCTAAAAGCAGAAGGCAAAAAAAATAATAATTGCAATTTTTCACCAGAGAATAATGTCATTATAGGACAAAACTTAGAAAAATCAAAAATTCTAGCTGGCTTTCTATTGGCGACTATTAGGAACTAAAAATAGTTTAAATCTGTTCGAAATTATCTTTGATTGTGACTGGCATATCAAAGGTGAAAAATAGTTGAATTAGCACTGAAAAGTAGGACGAATCTACTCAAAAAAGAAGGCTAAAACGGATCCCATTCATGGACCAAAATCACTTTTTCTGCAAAAAAAAATTTTTATATCCGGTACTCGTAGAGTACAGGGGTATATTGTATTCATGTAAATGTATGTAAAACAGGGGTGCCCAAGCTCAGCATACGGCAGAGAAAACTCCAATACCAATGCAAAAAATCACCAATACATTGGAGCGAGAAATTTTTATGCAAGTCATGTCGGTTTACTGCAAAAAAATTATATTACCATCGTCATTGGAGTCGTCAAAGTAATAAAAAAATATTTAAAATTAAAAAATGTAATAAAATTTTAAATAAAAGAAATTCATAGCTCCCATGTCAACCATTTTGTTTGAGATCTCAACCAAAACTTATTTTTTGCAGTGAAAAGTTTTCGGCAATACAAAAACGAAGCCTTCGTATTAGTACGAAAAACTGAGAGACTATACAATTGTTGTTGCTTAACTCGGAAACGGAAGCAAAGAACGAAGAGAGTAGGAAAAAACGAAACATTTTTTTTGTATTTGGGCTTTGCCTATGCTAAGAGCAACACTCCGTAAAGAGCACCGAGAGCAATGGGGCTGGGCACCCCTGATGTAAAATACGAGATGTGTTCAAAAAGTAAGGTGACTTTGTATTTTCAAGAAAAACTATTAATTTATTTGTCAATACTTATGTTGTCCCCTTCAAAGTAATCCCTCTCAGATATGAAATTCTTATGCCAACGGTTTTTTCAATTCTCAAAGAACTTCCCAAAAGCGTCCTTTGGTTTGGTTTCGATATCATAATTATATACCAGAGGTCGGCACGGCCCTATCTCGGGGGCATAGGAAATTTCTCTGCCCGAGCTCTGCCACACACACACAGTATAAATGTGTGAAACGTCATGCTCACAGCCTACTTTCTGCTATTCGTTACTAACACTAATGCGGTAAAATTATATCAATGTATTGGGGTGCCGACCACTGCTATATACCCATGATTCGTCACCATTGGTGATTAGTCGTCGTTGACGCCATTCAACAGCTCTTGAGGGATGCTCATGCCACGGTTCTTTTATTCCAAATTCAGCTATTTCGGAACAAACTTCGCTGACCCACGACTCATTCCCAAAACGTTTGACACGAGCCAAGCTATACACCGACATCTTCAGCAACTTCTCTGATAGTTATTCGACGATATTCCAAAACAATTTCTTCACTGGTTGAACGTATTCATCAGTTGTTGACGTGCTGGGGCGTCCAGAGCGAGGCTCGTCATTGGCATCTTGGAAGAGCCACTTGTAAACATTTTTTTTTACTCGGAACAGTTTTATTTCTTCACTGGTTGAACGTATTCATCAGTTGTTGACGTGCTGGGGCGTCCAGAGCGAGGCTCGTCATTGGCATCTTGGAAGAGCCACTTGTAAACATTTTTTTTTACTCGGAACAGTTTTACCGAATGCAACTGTCAACATTTCAAGTGTTTCGGAGCACTTAATTTTATTTTTTTACACAAAATTTGATGCAAATTCTTTGATCCATATTTTTTTATAGCAAAAAGTCGCCGAGCACGGAAAAAAACTTGTAACCTTTACGCCTCTCACAACCAAACAGAAAAGGAAATTCAATTGAAACTTGGGACAGATGTTAGAGAAGAGTGTACCAACATAACAAAACAAAAAAATCGATTATCGAAAATAAGTTGCCCGTGAAATTTGAAAAGTCACCTTACTTTTTGAACACACCTCGTATATCTCGTGTAAAATTAAAAGAAGGTAAAAATGAGAATAAATCACCTCCAAGTATATACATATATTCTTGATCAGCATTAACAGCCGAGTCTATATAGCAGTGGGGGGCAAACTCTCATTTTCAATAGCAAGCATGCATTCGGTTGGAAATTCTGCCGCAGCGCTGCGTCACTGTTGCTAAAAAAGCTTTCATTAATATAAAAAGGCACTATTTAAGTGCCCATTTAAACTTTTAAATTAACGAAAAACTAAATAAAATACAAAGTTTTTTCACTCAGTGAATGCCCTGCTCTCATTGTTTTTTGCTGCTTACGCACACACTCAAATGTTAAACATGGACATGTCCGTCTGCTTTAGAAACGTGTGGATTTTAGAGACTATAAAAGTATTAGCTTTTGTATCAAATTTTTGTCACGTCCCTCACGTGTCAGGTGTTCATCCCCCACAAATTTCATATTTCTGTAGCGCCAGTACAGGAAGAGTTTTTGATTTTATATCTGATCTGAATTCAGAATTTATATCTGTAAAACAAAATTCAGCCAAATCGAGTATTAATATAAGGAGATATAGAAATTTATATGCCAATTCGCATAGTAGCGTGTTGGAATTTTAAGCGCGTGGACCTCGGAGATAAGAGAAACAAGAGAAAAATCTTTAATTTTGAACTTCGCGAATTGCTGGGCTCTCCTAAGCAAAATAGAGATAGAATGTTTTTAGAAGAATATATTTTTTGAGATTTGAAGGATTTGAAGCTATTGTAGTTCAAAAATAATCCTAAAAAAACATAAAAGGGTATCAGGTCACAAGTTTCTATTCCTTTTATTTGGAAAATTAAAATACAAGCGTGATTGTTGGTATAGGTAAGTTAAATAATAAAAATCTTCTATGGTAGAAAGGAACGTCAAAATTAGCATCTTAAACAGCACAAATCAGAACTTTGTTTTTTTGGTACCGATTCGATGTCATTTCGGTGTATGCGATATATTAATTTTATGCAAAATGTTGGGTGATTGAAAAAAAAGTTAAAATTTTTACGAAAAAAAAACGTCACAAAATTGTTGATAAAAAACAAGTAAGCAATATAAAAAAAAATCCTACGTGTGTCGATAGATAAAGGTACAGTAGCGGACAATGAAATCCGGTCAGGCAGAAAATACTACTTTTTATACCCTTGCAGAGGGTATTATAATTTTGGTAAAAAGTGTGCAACGCAGTTAAGGAGACATCTCAGACCCTATATATATATATATTCTTGATCAGGATCACCTCCTGAGTTGATATGAGCATGTCCGTCTGTCTGTTTCTACGCAAACTAGTCTCTCAGTTTTAAAGCTATCGTCTTGAAACTTTGCACACACCCTTCTTTCCTTTGCACGCAGTTTATAAGTCGGGATGGCCCGGATCGGTCGACTATATTCTATAGCTGCCATATAACTGATTGATCGGAAATGGTATAACTTTGGTGTTTTTAAAGTTTTAAAAGTGAGAGCTTTTTTTTGGCAAAATAATACGACATGCCAAATTTCGTAAGGATCGGCCGACTATATCTTATAGCTGCCATATAACTGAACGATCGGAAATGACTCAACTTTCGTGTTTTTGAAGATAGAAAGCTGGAACTTGGTACAGATTATATTTTTGGTCAGTTGATTCGACCTACCAAATTTCATTAGGACTATATGCTATAGCTGCCATATAACTGAACGATCGGAAATGGTATTTGGTAGAAATATCAACTTTCGTATTTTTGAAAATAGAAGTTTGGGACTTTTTTTAGATTTTGTATTGTAATAAATTGGATTATATATTCCTTTTCCCATAAGGATCGGCCAACTATATCCGATGTTTGCGATATATATCCGGTTTTAACTGCAAGGGTAGATAAACTTCGCCTACATATACTTTGAAATGTAGGCAATCAAAAAAATTTTTTTTTTTGGGGTGGAAGGTGACTATTCAGAACACCTTGGAACTTTTCAGCATTCACAGTTCCATCAATTAATGCCAGATCACCAAGTAAAAAAGGCATCTCCGGACCATTCGGCATCCTCCTTGCTTGACCTTTCGCCGTAAGCAATTATTTTTGAAGCGTTTGTCGCGTTTGGGGCGCACCTAGCTCATACTATTGTAAGACAAATGGATTATTTTGGTGTCGTTACAAAAAATGACGTTTCGCCAATCATGTACGGTACAAGATTCGTGCATTTTGACTCACTGTAGCCTTTTCTGGAGTATTTTTTTGGTCAAGACTGGGTTTTTCGCTGTTCGCCGGCCATGAAGTCCTGCCTCCTCAATGTTCCTTCGAAAAGTTCGAAGTATGAAATGTATGAAATCCTCGAAAGAAGACTTAATAAATCCAACGTTAGAGCTTATTCCTCGGAAGCTTAAGATTTTCGATTGTAAGGCCAATATGGCCCCTTGGAAATTATCACTCATTTTCGATAAATTAAAAAAAAATTTTTATTTTAACATTAGAGGTTTAAGGGGTTACGCCACCCTGACCGCGTGGAAACGGGACGGTTTTTCAGGAATTTCTTGTGACTAAACTAGTTGAGATAGGATTTTTCCACTTTTATTTCTATTTAATACAACTAATGAGCTTTATAAATTCTAAAAAAAAATTTGTTTTCAATTCAAAATGGCCGGAGTGCTCCTTGATGGTGGGCATGATTCACGTGTCAATTTTCATCAGAAAAAAGTAAACAAAATTTTTTTTTAAAAAGTGATAAATTTCGAACAGAGTGACGTAGCCGTTTTAGAAAAGAAGAAAAATTACGCAAATGAGAGCACTTCAAAACTTGACTCAATGTTTTGGGCAAAAAATTTCGTACTAAAAATTGCATAAAAAAATTTCTATCCATTGGATCGAAAAAATCCTACGTCACTCTGTGGAAAATCTATGTAAGAAGATGTGTTTCAATTTTCATGTCAATCGGTTGAACAGTTTTTGAGTTATCATGCCCACCGTCTTGAAAAAAGTGGTTTCGAGAAAAACGCAAAAGAAGAACAGAAGTGTCTTAGGTGCCCTCCTGCCGTGCCGATTTCAAATAAACATAACTTCCATAATTATCAAGATATTGTCTTCGGGGACGTCTTAAAATACGCGTAAGAATATAGTCTTTTAAATTAGGTAAAAATTGAAAATTTTAATTTTTTGAAAATTTCAGGGTGGCGTAACCCCTTAATAATTTAAAAAATGCTTTCAGATCATGAAAGCTAAATGACTTCCGGATATAATGGTAAAATTTCAACTCGATATAATAACACGCGCTCCTACCACACTAATGCAAAGTTCAAATTTAGTGCAAGTACTTAGGTTTCCGGATTTCATTGTCCGCTACTGTACTTTAAATTTACTGTCAAAATTCAAAATCGATCGGTTAAGATTTGTTTGAGTTATGTTTCCGACAGTCTCAAAAAATGTGGTTTCGAGAAAAACGCGTTTAAAGTTTTAAGTACTGTGGCATATACCTGTAAGGCATTGCCGCAGAATGGAAAGTTTCGACACTTGGACACTTTTGTCAGACTCTATCTTTTGATATGTTATTTTGAAGACCTTAAAAAATTTTTGAAGCGAAAAACAAAAAAACATTTTGTAATAATTAATAGTGATAAAACTTGAATCCGATAAAAAATTAAATACTAATTAAAGGGTATATTAATTAATTGAGCGTTTTCAGTAATAACCTGTTGCTTAGAAATAAGAGTTCGTTCAATTTTACTCGTAAATAAGAAGAAGATTGAAGATGAAGATCGAAAGAAAACCGAAACCGCAAGAGCGATTGATAATGGAGGCGGTATTGACCGGCGACCGGTGATGTGCCAGATAGTGAGCGAGATGACTAGGGTTACAGCGGAGAGCGTTACCAACGCCGCCGAGACACAGACAAAACGGGGGTTGAAACGACGAGAGGAGCGTAACGCAACAGGGGAAATAAATTATTTTCACCAGATTACGGTTTACCAGCGGTTACGTGACCCGACAGTGTCAAAATAAATGGGAGCATCATTTAATACATTTTTTTAAACTTTATTTACGAAAAACTAAATTTTGCTAATTTAAGTCATGGAATTTATTATTTTTTATGCTTTAATCAAAAATTGCAACACTATGGTTAATCGAACTGTTTACAATAAAGTGAAGTTTATTGGGATAGATTTGCCACTGGAAAGAACTTTAGGGGTTTAACCGTGAGGATGCGATGGGAAGGTTTCGGTGTCTGTGTTCGGGAAGATGGTTTCTGTATCGTAAAGTGCTGCCGCTCGTAATGTCTTGGATTTCGAAGGTGCGGAGGTGAAAGCGAACACGTTGGGGGAAGGCGGCTGCGTTGGGCTTCGCCATAAATATTATAGGGCCCCGACGTTGCCGGGGTTTTTGATGATAAAAGCTTGGGACTAAATTATTAATTGTTTATATAAATATAATTATTTTCTTACTCTAAAAACAATAAAGTTATGGCCGATCAATATAGGATATATAGGATATAATTATGATAAAGCTGACTATATTCCGTCGATTGGGCCGTTCCGAATATAATAAGTGAAAAGGAAAGAAGCCAAAGTTTGATTGTCGATAGTTAGTAGCTTTAAAACGGAGAGACAAGTTAGAGTAAAAACAAACAGACAGATTGACATGCCTATATCAACTCAGAACGTGATCCTGATCAAGAATATATATGCTTTCAAGGGTCAAAGATGTCTCCCTAACTGCGTTGCACACTTTTGACCGAAGTTATAATACCCTCCACAGGGTATCAACTTCGGGAGTTTCTAAAGCTAGCTTTTTTTATTAAGTTGTAAAATACCTAATACTAAGACTTGGGCTTAAAATATAACTATAATAATTAAATGCTTATATTTAAGACGAAATAATATACAAGTTTTATTTTTTTTTTAGGATTCCATTGAACAATGGCGAAAAGTTTTTGAAGTTTCTGCAATTATATCTATATCGACATATGTTGTTTATCAAATTTTTGGAACAGCTGATATACAACCATGGAATCTAAAGAAACCCCCAATTGAAAACGAAAATAAAGAAAGCCCTCTTTTATCCAAAGTAAATAAAGATTGTCAAAATGATAATATGCCGATGTAGTTTACGTATTCAAATTAATATTATTGGTTGTAAACATTTTAGTATTTAAATATATTGTTATTGTATATATTCTATGAACGGTTTGTTATAATAAATTTAAACAGCTCACAATATGTATGTTTATATACATAAAGCAAAATTTAAAGAATGGTTATATATACCTATTTATTTGTTTATTTTTTTTAATAATTTAATAATTTTTGAGGTCTAAAATTTTTAACTAAAATTAAAAAAGGTCTAAATAACTAAAATTTTTGTTTAAGGTTTTAATCAGGTTTTAATTCATGTCGTTTTCTTATGTTTAAGAAAAGAGAATTATACAATGAGTCCCTACTCAGAGCATGAAAAAAATTTTGATCATTTGAAAGTCCGGAAAATATCGGACATTTTTTTTTCGCGATCTTTCAGAATTTTGGAAATAGCTTGTGCATCAGCTAGCGTTACTTCATTCATCATAACGCTTAGAGGCCCAGGCGACCGAGAGGCGCTCGAGAAACGATTTATTAGTTTTTATTAAGCTATTTGTTATTAGTTAAGCCAAGAAGAGTTAGTAAGGAAATTTAAACTACTAGATTTTAAACTTGATGGACAGGAAAGAGATGTTATTGAGTAGAGACCATTGTAGTTGGAACATAAGACCCTAAAAGGGTCGTGCTGTGCATATGTCGAACTAAAATGGGTAAGGAATAGAAGACTAAAGTTTCTAGTCCTTCTATTAGGAATATTACAATTTAAGCGTGTTAGTAAATGCTGGATATCTACATCCCCATTGATTAGGTTATGTAGAAAAACGACACCCAGCATTTGCTTAACCCTTAAAATGTTCAGAAATTCTTTTGTACAGATGCTATGCGGTCCTGATGTCCCCCATACTGGGGACGGACCAAAGAAATGAATAAGCTTTTAGTAATGACCATCTTTTAATGAAACCAAGGACACCTTTAGCCTTATTAAGGGGTCACGCCACCCTGAAATTTTCAAAAAATCGTTTTTTTTTTTACTTAATTTAAAAGACTATATTCTTACGCGTATTTTAAGACGTCCCCGAAGACAATATCTTGATAATTATGGAAGTTATGTTTATTTGAAGGCGGCACTGCAGGAGGGCACCTAAGACACTTCTTTTTCTTCTTTTGAGTTTTTCTCGAAACCACTTTTTTCAAGACGGTGGGCATGATAACTCAAAAACTGTTCAACCGATTGACTTGAAAATTGAAACACATCTTTTTACATAGATTTTCCACAGAGTGACGTAGGATTTTTTTGATCCAATGGATAGAAATTTTTTTATGCAATTTTTAGTACGAAATTTTTTGCCCAAAACATTGAGTCAAGTTTTGAAGTGCTCTCATTTGCGTAATTTTTCTTCTTTTCTAAAACGGCTACGTCACTCTGTTCGAAATTTATCACTTTTTAAAAAAAAATTTTGTTTACTTTTTTCTGATGAAAATTGACACGTGAATCATGCCCACCATCAAGGAGCACTCCGGAAAAACCCATGATCGCCGATGTTCATATCTCCGCCATTTTGAATTGAAAACAAATTTTTTTTTAGAATTTATAAAGCTCATTAGTTGTATTAAATAGAAATAAAAGTGGAAAAATCCTATCTCAACTAGTTTAGTCACAAGAAATTCCTGAAAAACCGTCCCGTTTCCACGCGGTCAGGGTGGCGTAACCCCTTAACCATTGTGGAAATATGGTCTGCAAGTTTAAGTTTAGAGTCTAATAGGACACCGAGATTGTCTGTTAAGGCAGAAGTTTGAACTTGTTTTTAGTTTATAATTTGTTTATTATGCTTAAGTATAAACATATCGCGATATAAAAAAATGTATTTATAGCATGGTAACATTTTTTTAAGGTGACATTTGCAGTCATGTTAGAATATCGGAACAATCAAATACATCGATAAGGCAATAAGGTTTGTAAAAATCATCTTTACGGAAACAGCGAATCTTATTTACCACGGATGGAAACATCCGATCGATACCAGAATTGGTTTTGATTAAAACCTCAAGCGTGGGGTAATTCGGATACTCTGGGGTTGAAAAGAGTGGTACCATCAGGATCCAATACAAAGCATAAGTCTAATAGCCGACCTAACAAATTTCTTACACGATTAATTTTACCTAGATACATGTCAAACATGTCCGCGGTGAAGTCATGGTGCGTGATCAGTGATGGTGAGTTTCGACATTAGACCACTTTAATTCTGGGATGTTAAAGTCACCCAAAGCTACAAACTGGTCACGATTGCTCAGAACATTAAAAACTGATTGAATAGCGAACTAATGATACCAGTATGTGGGAAGGCGAAGGCGGTATATATTAACAGGTAATGAATACAAATTTAGCAGACAAAATGATTTTAATTCAAATAAATTCTATGTCACGGTTTGTCTATCGGCTTGAACATCATCGCGGGCACACGAATCTTGAAAGAAAACGGTTGCCTTTTATATTTATATTTATATTTAGTTATGTCTTCCACCTTTATATAAGATTTTTTTTTTGCTTTGATATAGGCCGAGATATCAATCTCTGAAGTATCAGGAGCAAGCCGAGAAACAAATATATGTTTCGATGAAGCTGCGTTAGTGTCGGCTGACGCGGATCATAAACTGCTGCGGATTCTTTAAAGGACTTAGGGGAACTATTTAGCAGCTGAAAGCCGCTAAACTGAGTGTCAAGTGCGCAGATTTTTCGAAAACCAGTGATCAACTCTTCAAATCCATTCTTTGTCTGTCTCATGAACGACCTCATTTCGTTTTGGACAGCACGACAATTATCACAACAATAGTGTAAACCAGACTTACGAAATATGGCATCCGAAGTTTCGAAGTTTTCACATAGCCAGCAAGGGATGATAGGCTGGGTTGAGGAGATTGTCTTGTTGTTATATAAGACTTGTTATAATACTTCATCAAACAGACCAGTTAAAATTCCATATTAATAATTAACAATAAAATAATAATGTATAAAATGTAAAAAACACTATACCTTAAACCACTGTGCCAAATAGGAAGCTGAAGCGGGAACTTTGGTGAGTGCGAAGGAAAATTGAAGAAATAGAGATAGGAAACTATTGCACAAGAAAGAAAAAAAAATAAGAGAAAAAAGCAGAGCAGATCTATGCTTGCAATCTAAATTAAACAAGATAATAATTCGTCTCCAAAAGTACCACAGCAGACGCGAAGCGATACGGATTATGTTAAAACTAAAGTTTCTTTAAATTCGATTCTCAAGTAAGTAAACACAGGTTTACTGCTATATTTATCATGAACGCAGTGCGCACAAAAAAAACACGTTCGTTCGCTTAAGAAGAAGTGAGAGAAGTTATGTCGAAACACTCCGAGAATCGGGTCTGAAAAAAACAAATGAAAAACTACGCTTCCCGATCCCAATTTCTGAGAAACTTTTTCTCAGTTGAAACGTTTTGACTTTTAAGTTTGGGCTGTTAAATGAGGCAAAATTGCTCTTCATTTTCTCATTTGCAAATTCATTTCCGACCAAATGAGAGAGCTTAAAAAATTTGAGAGTGTTCAAACAACAACATTAACATTTCGTATCCATGATCTGCTCCTCTGCTATTTAACAAAAAATGTCAATAGCACCAATCACTACCCATAAACTTAATATAAGCAATGCTTCTGTAAAGTTACCGAGTGTTTTCCGTTACTGCAAATAATATTCAAAAATTCCCCGCCAATAATAAGCCTGATATTTTGTAAATAATCAGTCGCGAGCGATCCAGAATCAAAGGCGACGGCGATAATTATAAATTCGAACTCTGTTAAAGATTAAGATTTTAAAGATTAGCGGAGCGACCGAGATCGAACCGAAATAGTTCGAAAGAGAGAGACGGTCCCAAGGTGCAGGTGGCCGATCGACTGAACGGGTGAGGGAGTGAGTGAGAGCCGGAAGTGAGAGTCGGAAGTGCAGCAGTGCAATGTGAAGTCATAAATTCTTGCTGTCTATTACGTTTGCCAAGCTTGATCTATGCCAGACATGCCCGATACATACGGCTGCAAGACCTGACATCCTCACCCCTTAAAAATACCCTGGGAATGCCAAAGCTATCGCGAACGCGTTTCGCAATTTTTGAAGGATGCGTTAAGTAAAAAAATAGGCAAATTTCACGCACACAGGCATGAACGGGCGCACACGGCCGGGTAGAGTTAATACGCCCAACGCTGCCATGCTCCCAGGACCCCCAGGATCCTTAGAAGCGCCGCAGGACCTCCCATCCAAAGTCAGTAAGAGAAATACATATAAATGTGAGTGGGTGCGAGTGTGTGTGTGTGTGCGGGGGCCGTACGTTGAATGCATACGAAAGTAGTAAAAAATATCATCAATGCCAAAATATGAATATCTAAAGAGGATAACGAAAAATGGAGTCAAAGCCAAACAAAAAAAAAACGGCATGAAAAAAAAGGGAAGCGCCAAGAACAGAGAGCCTGTTCCTGACAAATGTGCAAATGTCAGTTTCCAAGTGCCAAAGCCCGGCTCAGTTCAACTCGGTCCATGACATTTGACAGAAAACTAGACAATTTCCAACTCCTCGGAGATGAAAGACAATGTTTTTTGTTTTTATTTCGGGGCTACTGTTGTGCCGACATGTACGGGAAATCAGTTTCCCGTAATTGCATCAACCTTTAAGCGCGAAAACTTCCGGAAAAAAGTGGTAGGTAGCTGGGGTATTATCTTGTTATTCGGAATTTTATTCGGAATGTTATTCGGCCACAACTTTATTCGGAATTGTTATCGCGGTGCCGTGTGGAGCTTTTAAAAAACGCTCAGACAGCGTCTGCGATTTTGGCTCAGAGTCTGCCCAGATCCTGGAGATCCTGTTTGGCACCGACCCGCATAAATTTTCCCAGAGTCTGTTGCAAATTACATTTGAAGTAGCAAATTTCACATAAATCTTTAGTACCCTGGGTCAGGCCACAGTGAAAAAATAATGCAACCCCGGCCTAAATAAAATAATGGCCTAGACTTTCCTAAAAATGATGTGTTTTCTTTATATATATATTCGCTTATAAAATAATGGCTTCAATAATAACTTTAATATTTACTTTTGTGTTTTATGAACTTAAATCTTATATCTTTAAACTATCTAATAAAAATGGTAAGAAAACTTCCAGTATCCAGTATCCATGC